ACTTAAAAGTGGGAGCTAATTAGTGGGTGCTCATGAACATAAAGGTGGTAACAATAGGCACCAGGGTCTACTAGAAAAGGATGGGGGCCAGGTGCGGTGGCTCACGCCTGTAATCCCAACACTTTGGGAGTCCAATGTGGGCGAATCACTTGAGCTTGGGAGTTCGAGACCAGCCTGACCAACATGGAGAAACCTATTAAATAGAAACTCTACTAAAATAACAAAATTAGCCAGGCGTGGTGGCACGTGCCTGTAATCCCAGCTATTTGGGAGGCTGAGGCAGGAGAATGGCTTGAATCCAGGAGGCAGAGGTTGCAGTGATCTGAGATTATGCCATTGCACTCCAGCCTGGGCAACAAGAGCAAAACTCTGTCTCAAAAAAAAAAAAAAAAAAAAAAAGGTTGAGAGGGAGAGGGCCAAGTGCTAAAAAACTAATTTGGAGATACTATCCTCAGTATATGGGCGCTGAATGAGTTACACTATCTGATTTCAAAACATATTATAAAACTACAGCAATCAACACATTGGTATAAAGACAGACCTGTAGGGGCTGGGAGTGGTGGCTCATGCCTGTAATCCCAACATTTTGGGAGACCAAATCAGGAGAATTGCTGGAGGCCAGGAATTTAAAGACCAGCCTATGCAATACAGTGAGCCCCCATCTCTGCAAAAATAAAAATAAACCAGGTGTGGTGACGTGCAGCTACTCAGAAGGTTGAGGCAGGAAGATCACTTAAGCCCAAGAGTTTGAGGCTGTAGTGAGCCATGATCATGCCACTGCACTCCAGCCTTGGGTGACACAATGAGTCTATCTCTAAAAAAAAAAAAAAAATGTAATTTTTAAAAGATCAATCTGTAGATTAATAGAGCACAATATGGAGGGGAAAAAAACTCTATATTTACGGTCAATTGATTTTCACGACAGTGCCAAGGCAATGCGATGAAAAACAAATAGTCTTTTCAACAAATGATGCTGGGACAACTGGATATCCATATGCCACGAAAGAAAACCCTCAGAGCTTTGCCCCATACTGTATTCAGTAGTAATACAATCTGAATGTTTGTGTCCATCCAAAATTCATATGTTGAAATCCTAACCCCCAAAGTGATGATATTAGGAGGTAGGGCCTTTTAGGAGGGCAGAGCTCTCATCAGTGAGATTAGTGCCCCTATAAATGAGGCCCTGAAGAGCTGCCTTGTCCTCCCACCATGTAAGGATACAGCTAGAAGTCATAATTTTTGAACTAGAAATGGCCCTAATCAGACACTGAATCTGCCAGTGCCTTGATCTTCAGCTTCAGCATCCAGAACTGTGAGAGATATATTTCTATTGTTTATTAAGCAACTGTTTATAAGCAGTCTGTGATATATTTTAGCAGCATAAAGAGACTCAGAGAAATAATTAACTTGAAATGGAGCACAGAACTAAGTATAAGAGCTAAAATTATAAGATTTCTGGGCCGGGCGCGGTGGCTCACGCCTGTAATCCCAGCACTTTGGGAGGCCGAGGCGGGTGGATCACGAGGTCAAGAGATCGAGACCATCCTGGTCAACATGGTGAAACCCCGTCTCTACTAAAAAAAAACAAAAAATTAGCTGGGCATGGTGGCACGTGCCTGTAATCCCAGCTACTCAGGAGGCTGAGGCAGGAGAATTGCCCGAACCCAGGAGGCGGAGGTTGCAGTGATCGGAGATTATGCCATTGCACTCCAGGCTGGGTAACAAGAGCGAAACTCCATCTCAAAAAAAAAAAAAAAAGACTTCTACAAAAAAGCTAAGAGAAAGTCTTTGAGTCATTGGGTTAGGCAATGATTTCTTAGGACACCAAAAGCACAACCATTAATAAAAACAAAAACAAATTGGACTTTACCAAAATGTAAACATGTATGCTCTTCAAGAGCTTAAGAAACAGGTATGCTCATTTCTTAAGCGTGAAGCTGCAGCTGGGAACTGATTACAAGTGGGCACAGGAGGACTCTGTGAGGTGAAGAAAATACTCTAAAACTGGATTGATTGTGGTGCTGCTGTAAATTTACCAGGATTCATTCATCTGCATTCTTAAAATGTGTGATATTTATGTTATGAAAATTACACCCTAATAATGCTGTAAAAAATGACAAAAGGGTACATTTTTTAACATCACACATTTGGAGAATTAACACATACTACTAAATAACTCATATGTCACAGAGGAAATCATAATAATTTTAAATACTTAGAATTGGACAATAATGTATATGCTACATAGCAAAACTTGAGACCCGAAACAGAGGTAAAACATAAAATTTAAAGTTTTAGAAATATATATATTTAGCTTGAATCATATATGGAAGAGCAAATATTTGACCAAATATTGAAGAATAAAGTCTGAACACTATGAATTTAAAGTCTAACTTTTTAAAAGTCTAAATAAACATTGCAGTGGCCAAGCACAGTGGCTCACATCCTAAATTTTGGGAGACCAGCGTGGGAGAATTGCTTGGGCAGCAGAGCAAGACTCTGTATCTCAAGAAAAGAAAAAAAAAAAAAAAAGAGGCCAGGCATGGTGGCTCACACCTGTAATCCCAGCACTTTGGGAAGATGAGGTGGGCGGATCATGAGGTCAGGAGTTTGAGACCAGCCTGACTAACATGGTGAAAGCCCATCTCTACTAAAAATACAAAAATTAGCTGGGCACAGTGGCAGGCGCCTGTAATCCCAGCTACTCGGGAGGCTGAGACAGGAGAATTTCTTGAACCCGGGAGGAGGACGTTGCAGTGAGCTGAGATCACCCCACTGCACTCCAGGCTGGGTAAAAGAGCAAGCTTCCATCTCAAAAAACAAAACAAAACAAAAGAATATTATAGCCAGGTATGGTAGTACATGTCTGTAGTTTCAGCTACTATGGAGGGAGACAAAAAAGAAAGAAAATTACAGAAAACCCATAGAAAGCAGAAAGAAAGAAAGGAAAGAAAGAAAGAAAGAAAGAAAGAAAGAAAGAAAGAAAGAAAGAAAGAAAGAAAGAAAGGTAAGCTCAGCAATTAATGAATAGAAAATAAAGATAGAGAAAACCAACAAGCCAAAATCAAGTTTTTTGAAAAAACAAAAAACCACTGGTAAGATTGGTGACAAAAGGAAAGAAGGCACAAATACAAATTAATTTTATCAACTAACATATAGCACAATACTTTTTAAAATGTTATGCTGTAGGCCAGGCGCAGTGGCTCATGCCTGTAATCCCAGCACTTTGGGAGGCCAAGATGGTTTGATCATGAGGTCAGGAGTTTGAGACCATCGTGGTTAATATGGTGACACCCCATCTACTAAAAACACAAAAATTAGCTAAGTGTGGTGGTGTGTGCCCATAGTCCCAGCTACTCCAGAGGCTGAGACAGTAGAATCTCTCAAATTCGGGAGGTGAAGGCTGCAGTGAGCTGAGATCATGCCACTGCACTCCAGCTTAGGTGACAGAGTGAGACTCCATTTAAAAAAAAGAGGTATGCTGTAGTTTTAGTACTTAGACAAAATTAATAAATTGCTTTGTAAATAACCAAAACTGAAATGAATAAATTGACAAAATATGAAAACGGTAATTAACCAAAACTGACCAACAAGAAATGGAAATCCTCTGTAGTCCTATAGAGTGTAAAGGAATTTAATCAGTAATTAGATTTTTTCAAAAATTAAAAACCAAAACCACAACTCAGAACAAGTGAGTTCTACCATAATATCAGAGGCAGATTATTTAAATCCTATACATATGCTTCCAAAGGATCCAAAAAGAAAGAATACACTCCAATAATTCAGTGTATGATAATAATAATATTCTTGATGCCAAATTCTAATCATAGTATAAGAAAGCCCAATATCATAAAGGCAGGCATTCCAAACAAATTATTAACGACACAATAAATCTATAAAGTATATTATAGAATTGATGGTCAGGTACAGTGGCTTACATCTGTCATCTCAGCACTTTGGGAGGCCAAATTGAGGCCAGGAGTTCAAGACCAGCCTGAACAACATACTGAGACACTGTTTCTACCAAAACAAAACAAAACAAAACAACAACACTAAAAAATTATCTATGCATACTGGTTCACACCTGTATTCCTAGCTACTCAAGAGGCTGAGGCAGAAGGATCACATAAGCCCAGGAGGTTGAGGCTACAGCAGCCTATGATTGTGCCACTGCACTAAGCACCAGCCTAGGCAACAGAGCAGGACCCTGACTCAAAAAAATAATAGAATTAATCATAACCAAATTAGATTTATCTCAGGAATTCAAGGGTGGCTTAAAATGAGAAGTCAGCCAGGTGTGGTGGTTCATACCTGTAATCCCAATACTTTGAGAGGCCAAGGCAGGAGAATCGCTTGGGCCCAGGAGTTCAAGAATGGCTGGGCTGGGTGTGGTGGCTCATGCCTGTAATTCAGCGCTTTGGGAGGCCAAGGTGGGTGGATCACTTGAAGTCAGGAATTTGAGAACAGCCTGGCCAACATGGTGAAACCCCATCTCTACTAAAAATACAAAAATTTGTCGGTCATGGTGGTGAGTGCCTGTAATCTAGCTACTCGGGAGGCTGAGCAGGAGGATCACTTGATTCTGAGAGGCAGAGGTTGCAGTGAACTGAGATCATGCCACTGCACTGCAGCCTGGGCAACAGAGTGAGACACTATCTCAAAAAAAAGAAAAAAATTAGCTAGGCATGGTGGTGCGCACTTGTAATCCCAGTTACTCGGAAAGCTGAGGCACAAGAATTGCTTGAACCCAGGAGACAGAGGTTGCAGTGAGCCAAGATCACATTATTGTACTCCAGCCTGGGCAATAGAGTGAGACCCTATCTCAAAAACAAACATGTAGGTAAACATTCTTCTACAGTCTTCCTAGGCATACATACATATTCATACGTAATTATTGAATCAGTCACCTTGGGAAAAAAAACCTATAAAAGACTAACATTTTAAATCACTGTAAAACTGTGTGTGCTCCAAAATAACTTACTGGTATTTTTTGTTAACAGGTAATGCTACAGATATTTTACAAGATGCGCAAGTGCATTATATTTCTCGAGAGACATGTAATTCTGAGAGGAGTTATGGGGGGATAATTCCCAACACTTCATTTTGCGCAGGTGATGAAGATGGGGCTTTTGATACTTGCAGGGTAAGATCAAATAGTTTTCCTTTAAAATATTTTCTGAAGCCAGAAGGGAACTTGTCAAACAAGGCCTTTGATAACTTTCTGGTGGTCTTAATTATCAGGCCTAAAAATACTAAATTATTTTTTCTTCCTTTTAAATATTTCAATAATCCAAATCTTCTTGGTTCCCGATTCCTTGGTTTCTACTATCATCAGGTTAACCTCAGGCAGAATTTACCTTGACTCCTTTTTTTTAATCATTAACTTTGAGATAAAATTCACCTAGTTAAAAGTGTACAGTGCAATTTTTTTTTTTTAGGGGGATAGTCTCACTTTGTTACCCAGGCTAAAGTGCAGTGATGCAATCTCTGTTCACTGCAACCTCTGCCTCCCAGGTTCAAGCCATTCTCATGCCTCAGCCTCCTAGGTAGCTGGAATTACAGGCACACGTCACCACGCCTAGCTAATTTTTTGTATTTTTAGTAGAGACAGGGTTTCGTCATGTTGACCAGGCTGCTCTCAAACTCCTGACCTCAAGTGATCTGCTCACCTTGGCCTCCCAAAGTTCTGGGATTACAGGTGTGAGCCACTGTGCCCAGCCTGTTACTTTTTTATAGCCATCCTTGTGGGTGTGATGTGGTATCTCACAGTGGTTTTAATTTGTATTTCCTTAATGACTAATGATGTTGAGCATTTTTGCAAATATTTATTAGCCATTTATATGCCTTCTTTACAGAATGTCTATTTGAATCCCTTGCTCATTTTTAAATTGAGTTGTCTTTTTATCACTGAGTTGTAAATGTTTTTCATATATTCTGGTACAAATGTCTTACTAGAGATATAATGTACAAAGTTTTTCTCCAATTCTGTAGACTGCTTTTCACTTTTCTGAGGTTATCATTTGCAGCATAAATGTTAATTTTTTATGAAGTACAATTAATCTATTTTTTGTTTTGTCTCATGCTTTTTTACTCTTCCTTTATTCCTCTTTTCTTCATTATTTCCAAATCTACTAGTCCTTCACTTGACTTCCCCGTGCTCTCACCTGTTACTACGCAGTCTCATTTCTGCAATCTAAACTTTATCTTTCCTGTGTCCTTTTCCTTAAAAATCTTGCTGAGTAAAGTAGTAAAGAATCCAGTCCAACTGCATTGCATTCCTAGGCCAAACCTCATCATCAAAAAAATCATTATTCCATGCCTGCCTTATACAGAGATTTGGAAACCGTTATCTCAGTGTCCTTGTTGTTCTGAGCGCATTGACAGGCCTTAGTAACAGTGTTTGGGTGCACTCATAATTTTGTGTAGACTATGAAAGTGACCTGTCATTTATAACACTACTGAGAGGTGTCACCATTTATGCTCATTTTGCTGCACTAGCCAATGTCAACACTTAGAAACATGTCGTCTCTGGCAAGATGCCAGTTTACTCCTCTCCCTGGCAAGCAAATCACACACATGCCTAAAAGAATCCTTCACACATCTTAAATTGACACTTCCCACACACAGTATTAAGCAATAGTCTAATAATAGACAACTTTTACAATATTTTACACATTTCCAAAATTATATTTCTCCTGAGTAATTGTATTTAAAAATCTAAACATTTTGATGTATAGTATTCTGGCTCAAAACTAGGCAGATGGGAAATTTATCTCCCAGCTGTATGAGTCCTCCAAATACCTGGGCAAAACTGAATTCCTCCTGTTTGAGTTGGAAGATTAAACTCAAAATCTTTTTTTTTTTAAATAAATCATCATGGCTTATTTAACAAGGTTATTCTGCATTAGTGTGTGTGTGTGTGTGTGTGTGTGTGTGTGTGATATGAAGAAACTGATGTACAATCAGTAAGTCTTAAATCGCTCTTCCATGGGTTTCCCCCATCTTCCCACTTAGCAGTAAAAGGCATTTTTACGTTTATATAAACACATTCCTTACAACTGCCTTCTTAACAGAGAATTACTGTAGTATATAAATAGCACTGGGCATTTAGTAAGTAAGTTACAGGCCAATAAGTTCAATTGTGCAGTTGTGAAATCTAATGTCGAAGAGTCTTTGAAACCTTAAGACTGGGTGATCTGTAATTTTTCCAACATGTCTTCGACTGCATTAAGGAAATATTTGGTTTCCTTCTTGCTTCGACCTGCAAACTGATAAGCTCTGTCATTTGACCAGCTGCCCAACTAGCATATTTCATGTTGTCCTTTTTCGTTTTTGCACTTGCTTTTGGATTAGAAGCAATATGACTTGCCAACATAGGAAGCCCAAACAAAGCTCTCACATTTCTGTTGCGCACAACACTTTCTTGAAAGTTCGAGGTTTTCAAGTCCACCTTGGGTATATTTAACTTCAGCATACTGCTGACAACAGTGGTTGTGTGGATTAGTCATCATTAGTTCCTCTAAACAAAAGGCTGCTTTTGCATAGTCATGTTCATTGATATAATGTTCTGCAAGTTCATGCCAGGCTTCTTGGTCTCCAACAAATTGTTCCAGACGCTCATTCAGTTCCCGAACGGCCTCCACGTTTTTCCCCTGGGCTTTTCGAACGGCAATCTTAACGCTTTCTTGCAGCGGTGTTAGTTGGATCTTCTTGTAAAATCCTATCATATAGCTGGATAGCATCATCATGTCTTTCCATGGCTTCAGATCTCATGCCTGTTAATCGCTTGACTCTGTGACTGCCAGGGAACTGTCTTAACTCTTGAAGATAAAACAGTGCCAAGTCATCCCGACCGTAGTCTAGAGCAGCAATCATCACCTGTTCATATATCATCCAAATAGCATCTCCAAGCTTAGAAGCATATTCATTAATTAATTCTTCTCCAACTTCCACAATTTGCTCAGTATCTCATGAGTTTTCTTCTCTCCATTTTCTCATTTTATCTTGCATTTCAGTTCTTCACAGGCACTGGTAGGCCACTATTGTCAGGCAGGCAGGCCACTATTGTCTTTCACTCAAATTCATGTATTTTCCTCATCTGCTTGGCCCTTGGGTTTAGGACTCCAAATACTTCCCAAGTGACATCGTAAATCTCCGAGACCTTCGCCATCTTCCCAGAACCTCAGGTTAAGCTCCAAATCTATTGATCTTTATAAGTTGGGAGTTTCTTGAAAATGTGTATCTATATAAATATATGTTTGATGTAAATACTTTATTGCAGCGTTACTATTGCTTGAAGAATACTAGAAGTAACAAACCCTATTTTGGGACTTTTTTGACAGGGTGATAGTGGTGGACCATTAATGTGCTACTTACCAGAATATAAAAGATTTTTTATAATGGGAATTACCAGTTACGGACACGGCTGTGGTCGAAGAGGTTTTCCTGGTATCTATCTTGGGCCGTCCTTCTACCAAAAGTGGCTGACAGAGCACTTCTTCCACGCAAGCACTCAAGGCATACTGACTATCAATATTTTACGAGGCTGGATCCTCATAGCTTTATGTTTTGTCATCTTACTAGCAACAACATAAAGAAATTCTGAAGACTTTAGTATCTTTATTTTGCATTGTGTCCCTTCCTATTTTCTATATAATGAAAACCATTTATTCTTCTAGCAATTAATTGCCTACATTAGAGTTCTCATGTGAACATTTTATGGGCTGTAAGTATTGTGACAGATACACAATTGTAACTTTGGCACTGAATCCCGTACTTCCTTGATTGTTTTATAATCATAATTCTGTATCTGGAATACTCCTGGAGTTTGTACAGAATATTCAGTTAAACATATATTTTATGTGTATAAATGCCAAATAAAAATTTATCGTGAAAATGGAAGCTGTTATTTGGTTAATCAAACTCTTTTCTTCTTAGATTTTATTCTAAAACGTTTGTATGATTTTTTAAATTATAATCTTGTTTCCAATATTCAAAGTGTATTTTGAGAAACAAGTATTTACCTGTTATTTAAATTCTAATAAAAATCGAGACCATCCTGGTCAACATGGTGGCTTTCACCTGTAATCCCAGAACTTTGGGAGGTCAAGGTGGGCAGATCACTTGAGGTCAGGAGTTCAAGACCAGCCTGGCCAACATGGTGAAACCCTGTCTCTACTAAAAATACAAAAATTAGCAAGGCATGGTGCGAGCCTGTAATCCCAGCTACTAAATTAGCAAGGCATGGTGCGAGCCTGTAATGCCAGCTACTCGGGAGGCTGAGGCACAAGAATCACTTGAACCCAGGAGGTGGAGGTTGCAGTGAGCCAAGATCACACCACTGCAGCTTAGGCGACCGAGCTACATTCAGTTTCATACACACAAAACGAAATAAAAGAAAAGGTTGATTGAATTGTATCTACTATTAGTCAACTCTCATTTCCCTTGAACTTAGATGAATCCATTTAGCAAAGGACAAACAGTTATTTTCTTCTCCTTCTTTTGACATTCAACCAGCTAAAACCAAGTGTTTTTGGTTGTTGTTTTGTGTCAACCTAATTTCAGGATTTAACTGAAATTAAGCATGAATTTCCCATGTATTAGTTTCCTTCATTATTGGTTTAACACTAGGATCATTGTTTATTGGTTAAATATTTGGTTAATATTGTTTAATATTAATAGTATTTAATATTGGGTTAATATTGTTAATATTGGGATATTGTTTATTGGTTTAATATTGGGTTCATTATTGGTTTAACATGCAAGGGCTAGATGACTATGATTTTCATAGACTAAGCAACACCAATGGAATGTTGGTTGTTCTTTCTTGAAAGAGCTCCCAGTTTATCCACAGACAAGGTCTCATAGGTGGTAATGCTTAAATAGCAATTAACACAATGCATTAGTCTTTTCCTATTTATACTACCTGAATATCACTCAGATTCACTTGATAGCTCCGAATGTTAATGAAAAGACATTCTTCTAAAATGTAGGACAGTATTAGGGAAGAAACCTCTGCTTTTCACTTTAAAGGCATCTTCTAATCACTCTTTCGGTTTACATTTCTTATTTATTTATTTTGGAGGTGGAGTCTGTCACCCAGGCTGGAGTGCAATGGCACAATCACTGCTCTCTGCGGCTTTGATCTCCTGGACTCAAGCAATCCTCTCACCCCCACCTCCTGCATAGCTGAGACTACAGGTGCACGCCACGACATTCAGCTTTTTTTGTATTTTTTTGTAGAGACGGGTTTACCATGTTGCCTAGGCTGGTCTTGAACTCCTGAGCTCAAGTGATCTCCCCATTTCAGCCTCCCAAAGTGCTAGGATTACAAGGGTGAGCCACCACTCCCAGCCTAGGTTTACAATTCTATTCTTCTTTTTTTTTTTTTTTAATTCTAATCTCATGACAGATTAGGTTACATTTCTGAGCTATTATCTGCTATTGATGCTTTTGCCCAGCTTAGTTTACTATGTCAGCCAGCTGGAATCCAATTCTAAAACTTCTTTCTACCACAAGAAACTATCAGAGTGTAAACTTCAGAAATCTAAGCTAGACTTTGTTTTAACTTTTGTCTTGTTTTAACATTGTGTGTGTGTTTTTTTTAAGAAGCTCTGTCACTCAGGCTGCCTAGAGTGCTGTGACAAGATCATAGCTTACTACAGCCTTGAACTCCTGGGCTCAAGCAATCCGCTGGTCTCAGCCTCCCAAATAGCTAAGACAATAGGCCCAGACCACCATGCTTATCTAATTTAAATTTTTCCAAGACACAGGGTCTCACAATATTGGCCAGGCTGGCCTTAAACTCCTGGTCTCCAGCCATCCTCCCACCTCAGCCTCCCAAGGTACTGGAATAACACACATGTACCAACTTGCCTGGCCTTTGTCTCCATTTTTACTGTTATTTAGTATCTATAAAAGTTTAGATGATTATTAATACCTATTTACAACATTGTGATGATTACTGAAGTTGAATATATGAATTTCTTGACATTTAAAAGATGCTCAGTAACTGGTTTCTAAGATATTAATATCCCACCCATGATTTACATACTACTCTTTCTGATTACATAGATCATTATCCTATTGGATATCTCATATATCATCCCCAAAATATAACTGAAACAAAGGATCCTTTTCTGCTTACAAATTCAAAATTTTTAAGTACACTATTTTTTAAAATAAATTTATTTTTATAATTCCCCAAATATGATATCCTCATTATTTAAACTGAGACAGGGCCAAGCATGGTCTCATGCCTATAGGCTCATGCCTATAATCCCAGCACTCTGGAAGGCTGAGGCAGGTAGATGGCTTGAGTCAAGGAGTTTGAGACTCCTGTGTGAAACCTCATCTCTACAAAAAATGCAAAAATTAGCCAGGCGTGGTGGCATGTGCCTGTAGTCCCAACTGCCTGGGAGCCTGAGGTAGGAGGATCACTTGAGCCCATGAGGTCAAGGCTGCAGTGAGCCATGATTATGCCACTGTACTCCAGCCTGGGCAACAGAGACTCTGTCTCAAAAATAAATAAATACATAAATAAAATTGAGAAAGCACAGACACGTAGAAAGAAAATCAGCTGGGCATGGTGGCTCACACCTGTAATTCTCAGGGGGCTGAGGTGGGGGCAGATTGCTTGAGCGCAGGAGTTCAAGACCAGCCTGGAAAACGTGGCAAAACCCCATCTCTACAAAAAGAATTTAAAAATTAGCCAGGTGTGGTGGCATGCCTGTAGTCCCAGTTACTCAGGAGGCTAAGGTGGGAGGATGGCTTGAGGCCAGGAGGTAGAAGTTACAGTGAGCTGAGATCATGCCACTGCACTCCAGCCTGGGTGACAGAGCCAGACCTTGCCTCAGAAAAGAAATGAGAAGAAAGTCATCCATAACCCTACTATGCAAAGACAGCTGCCATGAAATCCTACCTTTTTCAGTTACTATAACGGGTATTTTTACAAATCACCTCCCAAAGGCCCACCTCCTAATAGTATTGCATTGGTGATTAGCTTTCCAACATGAAGTATAGGTGGCCACAGACATAGTACTTTTTAAGTACAAATCATAGTACTTTTTAAGTAAAATTTGAGGCGTTAAGTCAAAACCACAGATTGAACACAGTTCTAGCCACCTTCCTGTTCCACATTCTAAGATGAGAGTAATTATATTTATTTTAAAATAAGTAACAGTATTTCCTCAATCTGTCCACTGGAAAGGCCTAAATGCAGCGAACAAGCAATAATACCATGTGCCCTAGCACCCAGATTTTAGTGTCTCAACGTCACTCCCCTATCAAAGGATCCAAGGCTGCTTGGAGATGTGAATGATTTCAGGCCTGGGCAGGAAACATATGAGATCAATCTCAGATAAATCTTTTTTTTATTGCACTTTTTAGGCACATCAGATAAATCTTTGATAACATGGAAGTATCAAAAACTAGATGGTAAAACTGCCTTTAAAATATTGAAAACAGTCACTAGAAGAGAGGGGAAACAAATTATGTATTATGATATAATAATATTATTTTTTTTTCCTTTAAAAAATTATTATTTTTTTAAAGATGAGGTTTCACCATATTGGTCAGGCTGGTCTTGAACTCCTGACCTCAGGTGATCCGCCCACCTCAGCCTCCCAAAGTGCTGGGATTACAGGCATGAGCCACCGCGCCTGGCTTATGATGATATTATTGATTGACTTTTCAGATACAGCGGCAGCTAGCAAAAATCTGAGTGACATACTCAAAGTGCTAAAAGAGAAAAAACAACTGTTAACACAAAATTCCATCCAGAAAAATTACTCTCCAAAAAATCAAGGTGAACAAAGACATTTTCAGATAAATGGAACTGAAAGAATTAATTTTCAGCAGACTTGCATTACAAAAAAAAATGCTGGCTGGACACAGTGGCTGTAATCCCAGCACTTTGGGAGGCCAAGGCGGGTGGATCACCTGAGGTCATGGCCATCATGGCAAAATGCCATCTCTACTAAAAATACAAAAATTAGCCACCTGTAATCCTAGCTACTCGGGAGGCTGAGGCACAAGAATCCAGGAGGTGGAGGATGCAGTGAGCTGAGATTGTGCCACTGCATTGCAGTCTGGACAATAGAGTGAGACTCCATCTCAAAAACAAACAAACAAAAAACAAAAACCTATCACACATGCTGTCTACAAAACACATTTTAAACATAAAGACACAAATGGGTTGAAGTTTAAAAGTTGGAAAGAGTAAGCATAAGAAAGTATAAAGAATGGCTAAGTGCATATCAGACAAAATTGACTTTAGGACAGAGAAGGTCACCAAAGGCAAAGAGGGACACTTCATAATAAGAAGATGAATATATCAGGCAGCTATGACCATATAAATACACTCATGCCTACTAACAGCCTCAAAATATGTGAAGCAAAAATGGAAACAAAGGAAAAACAAATTTGTACCCTATAAATAATTATAGATGTATTACCTCTCTCAATAACTGATAAATAATAGAGATACAGAAGATCTGAATGACACTATCAACTACCTTAACCTAATTCACATTTAACTCATACTGCACACACAAAGAAAGATATACAACTGGCCAAAAAGCACACAATAAGATGCTCAACATCATTCACTCTAGAGGAATCAACATGTAAAAATAACATCTAGGTGAAATTCAGGTTACAAATATAACATAAACATAAAATAACAATATACTTCTGGCTTACCAACTAATTCACATTTAACAACCTCTTCTTAAAAATCTCACTCTAATCAATGTTGTGAAAATGGCCATACTGCCCAAAGTAATTTACAGATTCAATGCTATCCCCATCAAACTACCTATGACCCTCTTCACAGAACTGGAAAAAAAACACCTTAAACTTCATACGGAACCAAAAGAGAGCCCGCATAGCCAAGTCAATTCTAAGCAAAAAGAACAAAGCTGGAGGCATCATGCTACCCGGCTTCAAACTA